GACACCGTCATGGCCTGCGGGGAGGCAGGGGGGGGGGGGGCCGTCTCCCAGCCCTGGCTCGGTCACTCCTGCGGTCGGACTTCGGCCGGCCGGCCCCCGGCCAGGCCCGCCGCCCGTATCGCGTGTTGGCGGGTCGACCAATCAGCGCGCAGCTCGCTGGAGGCGAGGCCGCCCTGGCCCACCGCCGGCCGGTAAACACCGCCCGACTGTCCAAAAGGCTGACAACGCGCGCCATATCCAGGCGGAGGCAACAAGAACCGGTCGGGCGCCTGCGTGGTGGGGGATGGCGCCGTCGGCGGTATGGAAATGCGCATGTGTGTGTTACACGGTTCGTGGTATGGGCCACCAGTTTGAGGAGCGGCGTTTTTAAGGGCGGTGATGCGTGCTGTCCGGTTCCTACGGGCAGCTCGCGTCTGGCTGAGCTTTTAACCACCCCTAACCATGACAACGCACGCATCCGCATGGCGCATACAGTGACGCACGCAAGATCTGACGCAGCGGGGTGTTTAGTAGTCGTCGTCGTTCTTGTCGCTCTTGAGAAGTCGCTCTTGCGGAAGACATCTCATTCGACACCCTGCCCATCACTTTGAAAGTAATTTATTTTATTGGCCCCGTTTTTCCAGTGTGTGAGTTTCATGATTTTTGCGGCGCACTAAGTTGCCAAAATGTGTGATAAATGTTGTTAGAGCTGGAGACACTTTATTGAGACAAAAAAAAGAGAACATGGTTCCTTTTTCCCGCGAATTGAACGAAACGGCATACAGTGGCTTTGACTTATCCCGTATGGCGTTTTCCACAGTGGCTTCTCGGAGCGCACTCGGGCTGTGGGAAGCGCAGTATCACATGTTCTATGGTGACGCACTGGTTCGAATGTCAACCAGTGCGCTTCTTGGAAATGGGCATTTGCCGCCCGCTGGGCCAGTCACAGATGTCTTTGTTGTATGAGGGTTATCATGACAACGGTGGTCGCGACAACTGTAGGGAAGAAGCGTAGTGTTGTTACAAGGCCCTGACTGCGTAACTTGGACTCGAAAATAATCAAAATTGATATAATTGTGCAAGATCATTATGTCTTGACGCTGCTGCAGTGGCATTGCCTTATGCCATTATCAGACGTTACTGGTTCTGAGGTTTCACTAGAGTATGTGTTTGAAATATGTCCCAAATGCCTCCGTTTAAGACGGGTGCGAACGAAACAGTGGTGTGTTTACGGGGTGCAGGGCTAGGGAGGGGGATGGAGCAGCGGCGCATGGTACTATGTCGTGTCCAGTTTTAAATGACGATTGGGGGTGCGTATACGGGCGCGAAACCGGCCAAGGCTAGTATCTGCAACTGTAATGTAATGCGTCAAGGCTTGCAACGAACTCAAAGTAGAGAAAACGTGAATCTGCCATCATTCTAGCGCTTATCCTGCAGCTCAGAGCTCAACAGAGGAAAGGTCTCTTTCCCTGCCGACCTTTTCTCGCCTTGCTCTGTCTGCTTATTAATGACTTGGCTGCGCTCCAGCGCTGTTCTCCCCGCCACTCTGTCGCTCCCCGTCTGGCTTCACTGGATCGGGCTGAAAAGAAAGTCACCTTGTGCCGGACCCCCAGACCCCCGGTCACATCGGAGTGGCGGGGAGAGAGTGCTGACGCCGGCGCCAAGCGAGCAGTTCGGGTGCCGCGTACACGCTCCCTGTCAATCTCTGCCGGAGACGATACCCAGTGTGTGGCCCCTGCCCGCACGGGGAGGGCGTGGCAGCGTTGTTGGGATGAGTCGGGCGGCAGCAAGCCCGCGGCGCTGAAGCTCGGGCTCGGTCCATGGTCGCCTTGCTCTCACAGGGTGAGCCGCGATGATTATCTGCCGGCGCCACATAACGGTCATGTAAGCGACCGGGGGTGAAGGTCCGCAAATGGTTGGAGCGAGGCTTAGCAGGGAGAGTTGGCAAAATACACTGAATACAGGTTCCTCCTGAATTTGACGCACTTCCCTCTCAAAACTGGGGGCTGGCCCCCCCCCCCCCCCCACACACACACACTCGTATAACCGGCTATTTCCTCTCAGTCGCGTGGGATCGAAAAAATGTATCTGTTAATGTGGTACCCTCCCTTAGCACCCACCACGTGTTTAGCCAGGTACACACTTCGATGATGAGAGACCACGTCACCGTGGTCTGCATGCCGTGTCTCAGCATTTTTGTGCGCATGTAATAAATAAAAATTATCCCTCTCCCCTCTCTCTCCCTCCCTCTATCTTTTTTCTCTCTCTCTCTGTGTCCCTGTCCCTGTCCCTGTCCCTGTCCCTGTCCCTGTCCCTGTCCCTGTCCTGTCCCTGTCCCTGTCCCTGTCCCTGTCCTGTCCCTGTCCCTGTCCCTGTCCCTGTCCCTGTCCCTGTCCCTGTCCCTGTCCCTGTCCCTGTCCCTGTCCCTGTCCTGTCCCTGTCCCTGTCCCTGTCCCTGTCCCTGTCCTGTCCCTGTCCCTGTCCCTGTCCCTGTCCCTGTCCCTGTCCCTGTCCTGTCTGTCCCTGTCCCTGTCCCTGTCCCTGTCCTGTCCCTGTCCCTGTCCCTGTCCCTGTCCTGTCCCTGTCCCGTCCTGTCCCTGTCCCTGTCCCTGTCCCTGTCCCTGTCCCTGTCCCTGTCCCTGTCCCTGTCCTGTCCCTGTCCCTGTCTCTGTCTCTGTCTCTGTCTCTGTCTCTGTCTCTGTCTCTGTCTCTGTCTCTGTCTCTGTCTCCGTCTCTGTCTCCGTCTCCGTCTCCGTCTCCGTCTCCGTCTCGTCTCCGTCTCCGTCTCCGTCTCTGTCTCTGTCTCTGTCTCTGTCTCTGTCTCTGTTCTGTCTCTGTCTCTGTCTCTGTCTCCGTCTCTGTCTCTGTCTCTGTCTCTGTTCGTCTCCGTCTCCGTCCGTCTCGTCTCCGTTCCTCCGTCTCCGTCTCCGTCTATGTCTATGTCTATGTCTATGTCTTACTCAAACGCTCTCTGCTCCATATCTGCGAGTCGGCGGAGTGGTGGCAGTGGAGTATGCGTGGGTTCACGAAATCACTTACTGGCGTGCTAAATATCACCGCTGTGTGATGTTTCACCTTCCAGCGGCGCTGGGTGTGATCCGCCCTGCGTGTTCTTGACCAATTTCAACTTTGCTCTGTGCCCGCTGCTCTACAACTTCACGAGGCTCTGTCGGCAGGATGGAGCCACGCTTCAACCAACCCTATCAGCTGATCAATCTACTCATGGACATCGATGAGCTGCTCATCAAATGGAGAAGTAAGTTCCGCGGCCACGGAACGAACAACCTTAATTGCTTGATTTGCATGCCTTAAGCCGGCTACATACGCATCCAACTAGGATTTATGTGACCCAACGTCTTGTGTCTTTTTTGCCATGCTGATTGTGTGCCAGACATTTTTGAGCCAGACAAACCGGATGGAATAGACGGACCGGATTCAGACAGACCGCAGACAGACCAAACCGGGCAGGTAGAGGACGTACCGCACCAGAGGTTGCCGAATCCCTCAGCGCCGCGCCTTGGTCGTGCGGTCGGGCGCGTGACAGCCGTCCGTTCACAGATAACCACGTGCAGATCGTGCAGCGCATGATCGGCTCGCAGCAGGTGGGCACGGGCGGCTCGTCCGGCTACCAGTACCTGCGCGCCACCGTCAGCGACCGCTACAAGGTACCGCCGCCGGCCCCGCGCCGCGTGAGGCCGCGCTGCGCACTGGCTCACGAATCTGCCGCGCCGGCTCCCGTCTCGTCCGCCCATGCCTGTGTGTCCCATCGACATTCGGTCTGGATGGTTTTTGCACAAGGGAAATTATTCTTACTGGTTTATGACATCTGATTCTTACTACTGACATCATACGGTGTCAGTGCTGCCTGCAGACTGCACCATTGTCAGACACTCACTTTTAAGTTGGATAACCCTCTCACGCCTATCTGAGCCTTTATTTGCCCAAATTTCGGTGTAAGTCGTTCGGGCCTACGTCAAATTGGAAGAGATGAGAAATATGCTATGTGACACAGCAAACGCTTTTAGACTGGGTGGACCCAGAGCACAGCTTGCACTCGCTGAGATGTTTTCAGTCTCGAAATCACCAGTGTCTTGCTTGTGAAGTTAAGTGTGGATTCCATAGCCAGCCTGAGATGAGTATCTTAGCTTTGAGTCTCAGATTTTCCGGTACCTGAAACCCATTGCAAATTTATATATATATATATATATATATATATATATTTATTTATTTATTTATTTATGTATTATAAAAATATTGGTGTTCTAAGATCCAGGATTGATATCGAATATTTAAGTAGTGAGTTTATTGGATCCCGAAAAGAAGACTTCTCAGATCGGGACCCTTTTCGAATTTCGAGTATTGTGAAAAGTCAGCATCCGCCCTGACTGGGCCTTCATCGCATAGCCTGTGTTCTTTCCGGTTCCACGAGCATCATCGTGCTGTTGGCATATGCTGCTGCTGGCAGCATGACAGAGCCGCTCCGTAAGGCTGTCTTCCGCCGGCAGGTGTTCCTGGACCTGTTCAACCTGTCGACGTTCCTGATACCGCGCCAGTACGTGCCACCGCTCAGCCGCGCCATGCAGTTCCGGCTCTCCCACTCCATCTCGATGGGCACGAGCGAGGCGCACGAGTTCCTCTGCGACGCCGGTCGCGACGACGACTCGAGCAGCGAGGAGGCAGAGAGCGCGCCGGGCCCGGTGTCGTAGCCGGCCGGCCGCGCGCGGGCGGGCAGCACCGTGGCGCGCGCTGGCGTCCGGCCGCCGCCACCGCCGCCGCCGCCCCGCCACCATCGCCGCCGCCGACCCGCGGTCGGGCTGGTGGCACATCCGCCGACGCGGGCGCCCCGTCGGGACCAACTGACCACCCGCGACAGCAGACGTTGGTGACAGGAGAGGTTACGGTTTGAGTGCTGCTGCAGCGGGCACAAACGCCCTCGCACGCGTACGCACGGACGCAGTTACACGGCCACTTACGCGGGCACAATACGCATGCACACAGATATGCACGATCGGTAGACACGGCAACCTGTGCCCCCTGGGAAGCGTCTTCCATTGTGCGCGGTGTGTTACAGGCATACAGTCCTGGCATGTCAGCGCATCTTGCGGCTCTCACGGCCTGCATCTTTATGACAGAGCCTAGTGGGATGACGGTGTGTGACAGCGGCCAGCTATTGGCGAAGGTGTGCCCCGCGATGCATAACAGCGGCTGCCTATCGGCGTAGCTGTGTTCCCGCGGTGTGCGCGTGTGTGTGGACGGGGCGCTCATGCGCCTACCTGTCGCCGTATAGACTTAGTGGACTGAGTTTGTGTGGTCCTATCACTGATAATTTGCGCCCCATCCCTAACATTTCACGCTGGATTCGTTCTGATGCAATGTGTTATGTTCGAACCTGGCAATTCAGTATTCGTATCGGAGGGCGCTTCGGGTTATCGAAAACATTCGCAATGGTGCTACCAGCTGGCATGAATTTCCATGCACATACTATGATGCGCATTTTGGTAATACAATCGTTGAGGGTGACCGAGTTTTGTTTGCCTTTTTTACCGGACGTAATGCATTCCTGCTCCTAACGTAGATCCTGCGTCAGGCTGAAGTTGGATTGCGGCAAGACGTTTTGGTGAATCTTTTGAGCTCTTTTCACTCTTGAGAATAAGCTCATATAGAGCTATTGAGTACCGTCAATATAATCGCTATTTATCGCTACAGTGCCGTTTACGCAGCAACTCCTGGTGCGCTGCAGGACGTTAATTTTACATAGCTTTGAACTCATCATGCCGGAATTTTACGAACTGACGCGATGGCAGAGCGTTAACCAAGTCATACAATTTTGAGAAATTCCCTTTAAAATTGCGGACCGTAGGTGGTCTCTGAATTCTGTCACGCATTTGTAGTAGCGCATCGTTCGTGGGACGTAACCAACGTTGCGAAATACGTGGATTTATTCGTTTGGTCCTCCCTGCTTATGCCTTGATATAGGTGGACGATCTAATGGAACCATAGCTGTTACCCTTTTGACGTGACATGATTCATTACAGGTCACGTATGTTTATGTCCACTTAAGTCAAGCCAAAAGAGAATTTTAAAACTATGCAACTCCCTTTTGCGTATCTTCGAAGCATGCCAATTTCTCGCAACATTAGGAGGATGGATCTGATTTAACTTGTCAAAAGTTTTATTTGCTACTGTTCGCTTTCAAAGTTATCGACATGTCAGCACATAAACATTCGTCTAGAGACCATTTAGTTAGTCGAATGCTAAAGAAACTAGCACTCGACTAGAGAGTGTTTCGGCAAGTGGTCATCCGACCAAAGAACATTTCGCCAAACTGGAGTTCAGTTAATCTGTGTTTTGACTTCCACACCGAATCCATTCTCAGACACCACTACACAATTGTATTGATGATCGCCAACAATGGCGAATCGGTGTCCGTCTGCCAACTAAATAGTTTTCTTTTGAGGACCTTGACGTGAATGTTTGAAAATTAGTTTATTTGCGTCTGGATCTCAAGAAAATGCGTCCCACGCGACGTTCCCGGTTTGAAATTTCAGGGACGTGGTGGCCTCGAACAGGGGCGCAGTTTCTCAAAATGCTTTGGGGGACTGACCAGTGGAATTGTGGCCTAACCTACCGCCCAAGTATTCCAACTAGCAGGCCTCTCCCCGAATTTGGCCAATTTTTGTGGAAAAAGGCCGGAGCCCAAGTTGGGGGGGGGGGGGGCGGGGAGGGTGAACCCGCCCAACTGAATCGGAAATGCGCCGCTGGCCTCGAACCCTCCAAACATATTTAATCACACTCACGTTGGGCTGGAATCTAGGTTTCTCTACCTTATCGCCGAATGCAGGCGAATTATAATTTTCAAGGGTGGTTGGCACAGCTCAACCTGAGCCGCTTTCGTCGAAAAAAACTATATTATTGTGCTGTGGGTGCGCAAATACCTCGCACAGTGCACAATAACTTGGCGTAAAAAAATCAGCGGATTACGCCTGTGAAGCTTGGCACTTTGGCGCAGAACGTCACGATCGCCGCCTCAAAATATGACACCTCCCAAACACCAAAGCGATTAGAATGGAGACTAATTACTCCTCGGTCTTCTAAGTCGGCGTCCCGGGGCAGTAAAGGAGACCGGAAAACCGATGCTGTGAACTGAAGCAGCTTGGTGTTGCAGAAGCGGCGAGAACGGTGATTTACATTGCTGGCCTGAATTTTGTGACCCAGATACAGCTTCATTGCGAGAAAATGCCGCTCGAATCAATGTGAGTTCCCTGGGATCCTGCATAGTCCTGCTGGGTGGAAATTTGTTATGCATTGTTTCTAGTGTGTGCAGCTACTGACTGGCTGGGTCGACATCGTATCACAAACCCCTTGTCATCCAATAACTTTGGTGACAAGATAAACAACTACAAATTCAATTGAGGTCACATTTTCCCAGCATGTGTGGTAATGGAGAAACCATATTTGATTGTTATCACCACAACGCAATTTGATGTCATTTTATTTATCAGTCACAATTACTGAAGCAACTAGAAGAAATCCAACTTGGTACTTCCAAGCCCAAGATGTACATGATGGGTGCTTCTCAGAGTAGGGTAGCTGTGTGCCATTAGGGCTTAACAACACTGACATTGCATTACATGCTACAACATGAGGCCCAGATATATGTTGCCTGCCTCTCGACCTGGCGGGAAGGCTAGGCAACAATACATCATGTTCCTGTTTTTTTCAGATTAACAGTTTACTTACTATGCTATTGGTACCTGATTGTTAATTAGAATAACAGCTAGATAAGTAGATACATTAGTAAATGACTTAGATGAAGTGTAAGGTGCATTTAGATGTTGCTAATTGGAATAATGGTTAGATAAGCAGATACATTATTAGATGACTTAGATGAACAATAAGATGCATTTAGATGTGGATGAAATGATAATGAGACGATGATAAATTATATATGTATGTGTGTGTGTGTGTGTCTGTCATCAATAAGTGGAATGTAAATAGTTGCATTTTCAGGGAACTTGAACATATTTTGGCAATTTGGCGGAGTCAACACATAATTGTTAAGAAGTGATTCTTGTAATTTTACTGTTGGATCACCTTGTGCTTTAATGAAAATGTGTGCTGTGGCTAGGAAACAAGGGAAGCTGATCTTGAAATAATAGTATTCTACCAAGGTAATTTCTGTGCCAGTGGGTGGTCATTTTTCACTGATTCTCTTCTGTAGAGTAGCATTTATTGTTATTAAGAGGGAAAAAGGCATAAAAATAGCTCTGCAATCTGTCAGAATGCAGACATAGTAACATGACCTCAGTGATCTGACCTGATCTGGGACACAATGCAGGCTTCAAAGCATGAAAAATAATATCATTGATAGGCCAAATTTTGTGTCTGCTGGTCTTTCTGCTTTTCCAGATATTTTGCCCAGGGATTTCTCCCTGTGCCCAAGAGAATGAATGCCTTGAATTTAGGATACAGTGTAATCTAGCCTGCCAGTTTCAAATGTAACCTACCTGGAACCTGCTAATATGCTTTTTCACAAATTTTGGGTCTAACCTAGTCCAGTAATCCATAACAGAACTTTTTCTCAGGATGACATTTGATTCAGTCATGTTTTGGCTCATTTTGACATGCAAACAAATATAGCACGCAGACATGTGGTGCATCTGTATCTGCAGCACACATTGATATCTCTCAAACCACCTTCAAATTGATTGTTTTTCCACTCAATTTATGACAACCAATTTCTAAAGTCATTCTTATAATGGGAGATGTGCAGCCTTTTAAGGCAGCCCAGGCCATTCCAAGATGTAAATCAAATTTAGGATACAGTGTAATCTAGTCTGCCAGTTTCAAGTGTAATCTATCTGGAACTTGCTACTGCAATGCAGTGTAAGCCAATGTGCATAGAGGTATGCTGTAATGTGCTGATTGAAAAAAATTGTTTGAAGTTCTGCACCTGACAGCCAGATTACTTTGTCACTTTTGCTCAGGGCAGTGACTCAAAGGTAGCAGTGTAATGATGTTTTATATATTATGTCACTTGGAAGAGATTAAGATATTTCTTTGTTTGGACCTCATTTTTCAGGTGAAAGAAGTATGTATATGTGCAATGGGGATTCATAAATAGGTTACAGGTGTAAAGTGGAAGAAACATGTTTGTATAATCATAGATAGTACTGCTAATCAGTATGCAGAATATAACATTTGCATGCAGTCACCTTTGCATTTTGCAATAATGTAACTTCTGTGCCTTCAATACATTGGCCAAGTCTTCATTTGTCCAATCTTGGGTTTGTGTAACATACCAACCATGTGTGATAACCATGTGTCATTCTCCAGGATACCGATGGAAGAATCAAAAGATGAAGGCTGCTGCAGCATCAATTTTCTGAAATATGTCTTGTACATGTTCAATTTTGTCTTCATGGTAAGCAGTCAGCCCCAACCAGACTTGTCTCAGGCTTTGCAAGTTTTACTGAACTACTTGACACTGATGAAGCTAACAATGTATGCATCATTGAACCATTCATACACATTTTGGTCCCAATCCAGCTGCTGTGATAGTGGTGTTTTGGCGGAAAGCATACCTTTGAGCTGTAGCGGGTGCATTTGTCCTGCTTTTGCATGCATGATCCATGATCAATATTGCCATCCATATGCTACCCAAGGAAAATGACTGCATCATTTTCAATTTTTCTGTTTATTTTACCTTGAAGCAGTGATCCATGTAGATGAATACTTATTTCAACCTTG